CTTGTCAAATCCAACATAAAACACGAATTTCTCCCAATCCCTTTTATTCACCAACACTGACTTGCAGCCAGAATACACACCCACCTTGACCTTTTTATCTTTTTCACCACCTATGCTCGCCAAAGCACTATTCTCAACATACACGACCTTTCTTTAGTCTTCAATTACACCAGCACACCAACATACCTACTAGCTGACATGAATGCCACCAGTAACAACCAACTTGGATACCAATTACTCAGCTTCACAAACCATAAACACCTAATTCATCTTGGCCCAGATTTCAACACCTTCTACAACCACACGGGCCAAGGCAAACCAGACATTATTCTGGCAAACCGAGCCAGCTCTCTATTTCAACACCACATCTCACCAGGCCCGATTACAGGCTCTGATCACATCCCAGTCATCTTACGCATCTCCTCCAACCCCATCCTCATCCCGACCACACCTTCCTTCTCCTACAAGAACGCTGACTGGGATGCTTTCAAACAACACATAGACAATACTAACCTCACCTATGACTACAACAACAAACCTATCTCTAGCATCGACACTCAACTTGATCTCATCCAGGACACCATTACACAAGCAGCCAACACCGCAATACCAAAGAAAACTCACACCACTCGTTATTCTTTCAAACCGTCACTCAGAACAAGAAGACTAGTTATCTGCTACCACAACCGCTTCCTCTACAATACACACACATTTAATCAAGTCCGATTAGATCTCACTTACCTCAGAAACAGCATTTTACACAGCCTAGACCAAGGCCACAACAATCACTGGTCACAACTCATACAACAAGCGGACAAACAGCATATTAAAAACACTAAAGCCTTCTGGAACTTTATCAAAAAAATCAGAGGCACAACTCCCACAAACAAATTCACATCACCACAACAACACACACATCTCAGACCCGCAGGCTGCTACTAACATCTTCAAACACATCTGGGAGAACATCTTCCACCCTCACCCACCTCACCCTAACGTTATTCAACACATTCAGAACACAGAACATTGGAACACTGCACACACACAAGAAACAACACCAGATAGCCACATCCATGTGGACTCTCTTACCTCCTCCCAAGAACTCGACATTCCTTTCACCAAGACAAACATTAAAACTCTCCTCAGACACCTTCCTCCCTAGGCCCCTGGTTCCTCTGGCCTAAATCATATTATCCTAAAACACCTTCCTGACTCTATCATTACTGCCTACACAAACCTCATCAATGCCTCCCTTTCCTCTGGATACTTCTCTTCCCTCTTCAAAGCTGCTACTGCTGTCCTCCTTCCTAAACCCAAAAAAGACCACTCTGATCCTAGAAACTGTCGCCCTATCAGCCTCCTCGAAACTTTAGGAAAACTCTTTGAAAAACTCATCAACCTTCGCCTTCGCAGATACCTGGAACACAACTCTCTACTTTCTGATGGCCAGTTTGGCTTCAGAACACACAGATCCACACATTATGCCATTAGCATCATTCTCAACTACATCCGTATAAACACAAAACAAAGAAACAGGACAGCCCTGGTTGCAAAAGACGTTGAAAAAGCTTTTGACACTGTCTGGCACGAAGGGCTCAAGTACAAACTCTGCACTAACTTTAACCTGCCTCTCACTACTCGTAAACTCCTCTGCAACTTCCTAGACGGCCGTACCATGAGAATCAAATTCCAAGGCTGCTACTCTGACTACTTCACACTAAATGCCGGAGTACCCCAGGGATCTGTCCTCTCCCCTACCTCTACATTTTTTACACTAAAGACATTCCAACACCTGTATACCAAAACTCCATCACACATACCCTTTATGCAGACGACATTACACAACTTATCACTCATGCCAATATAGATACATTCACACACAAAACACAAAACGAGGTCGACAGGATAGCCATCTGGGAACAAAAATGGAGGATCAAAACCAATGCAGCTAAATCCAGCATTACATATTTTAACTACAGGAAACGTGATCTTCCATTACCTGTCGAGCTTAGAACAGTTGACACCCGCACTTACATCCCCATCACACAATCTGTCACTGTCCTTGGCGTTAATCTTGACTACCTTCTTCGTTTACACGGACACATTCACTCAAGGCATGCAATAGCTAGTAAGGCCCTTGCGGGCCTCTACAAGCTGAAACATGCCTCTCAACGCACCAAACTACACCTCTACAAATCCCTAATACGTCCTCTGATGACTTACTCTCCTCTAGCCCTCTCTCTTGCAGCTAAAACGAACTTACTTAAAGTGCAGCGTGTCCAGAACAAGGTGCTGTGCTGGGTACTTGATGTCAGATGGGAAGACTTCGCCAAAAGCAAGTCTCTTCATGCCCAATTAGACATCCTTGCGCTGAATCTGTACTGGAAGACGCTCAGTGACAGACAGACAGACAAACTTGAGACACGACATGACTACTGGACCTCTCTCCTTGACGAAGACATTCGCAGACCCACAAACCAACACAACCTTTTCTACTCCTTGTAAGATCCTGCTCCTAACCCTATTTACAAATAACCTTGGATTCGCTGACTGGTACCCTCTATGACAGGTACCATTCTCTGACCCACGCCGCCATAGCTTTAGGGTTAAGACATGGCCCAGTTCTACACTCCTCTCTAGCGCTAAACGTCGCATGTCCCTTCCTCCCCGCTCACCCCACCGGAGTCCCAACAGAAGAGCCTGAATTTCTCTTCTCAATATCTGTCCCACGATCGCCTTCGCTGCTGGGTTAAGCCCTGGCTCTATTTCTACGACTAAGAACACTCCTCTCCAGCACTATTCTTCGTCCGTCCCGTCTTCCCCGCTCATCCCATTTGGGATCTTACCTGAACTTTCGTTCGTTCGTTCGTACTTCAACACCATATTGTTTCAGACTATGGAGCAATATTCTTCTCCAGACTGAGGGACTGACCACCTCAAAACTTCAAGGGTGATGGACTGATTACATCGTCTTCACGTCTTCTGCTTCTATCTACTTTTCTGTACTCGACTGAAGAAGCCTACTGTGTAGGCGAAACGTTTCGAAATAAAGATACCTAACTGTTGCATATGTGTCTTACCTAACAACAAGTGTCTTGACTTTCATCTTCATCAACATTTAACAATTCCTCAAAATATTCCCTCCATCTTCCCGATACCACTAACTCTCCATTTAATAACTCTTCTCTCCTATTTTTAACTAACAAATCCATTTGTTCCCTAGGCTTTCTCAACTTATTAATATCACTCGAAAACTCTTATAATCAACAAAATTCGTTGATAACATCTCATGCCTCTATCATTTGCTCTCCTTTTACTTTGCTTCACCCCTCTCTTAATCTCTTTTTTTTCTCCATATACTCCTCCGTCTTTACATCACTTCTACTTTGTAAAAACCTCTCATATGCTAACTTTCTCCCTTCATTCCACCAATCGCTCTTCTTCCCTCCTGCACCAACTTTCCTATTACCACAAACTTCTGCTTAATGCTCTGACACTATATTCTTAAACTTACCCCATACATCTTCGACCCCATTGTCTCTACTCACACTAGCCTATCTGTCCTCCAACAGTTGTTTATATTTTACCCTAACTGCCTACTCCTTTAGTTTATAAACCTTCACCTCTCTCTTACTTGCTGCTTCCATTTTCCTTGTATCCCATCTACCTTTTACTGTCACTGTAGCTATAACTAAAAAGTGATCTGATATATCTGTGGCCCCTCTATAAACAAATACTTCCTGAAGTCTACTCAACAGCCTTTAATCTTCCAGTACGTAGTCCATCAAACTACTGTCATTACGCCCTTTATCACATTAGACTAACTCTGTTTTGCCTAGATTTGTCAATTCGTAACAAGATCTTTATGTAGCGCATTCATTTTAGAACAGTTGTATGTTTCATAGCAGATATATATTTTATGTTTGTAGAGTGCATACGCAGGTTTTCCGCAGTTTTAATGACAGATGTGACAAAGAGCAGTGCCTTTATTTATTTGTGTACGTGCTTACGGGTGAGGAAAGAAGTAAGAATACAACACAATATTCACTCATATAAGGAACCATAATGATATCATCGATTTTAATATGCATATCCAAATTTGATGGAGGTACAAGAGAAATAATGTAAGTAAACAATGTTTCTAAGTCACCTGCTTTACTCACACAGTTATTGTAAACTAAAAGGACACAAGTGCAACTAATGTGACATTTTGATTGTGGCAACGTTTCGCTCTCCAGGAGCTCGAAACGTTGCCACAATAAAAATGTCATATTAGTTGCACTTGTGCCCTTTTACTTTACATATTGTCGGTAATTCTACCAACTTTATTACGTGTGACTTGAAAAAGCCCACTGTGTGGTTGAAACGTTGTCAATAAAGGATCACATTATACTGCATATGTGAAAATTAAAATGGTATAAAATACCGACAGATTGTTAGGTAAGACACATATGCAACAGTTAGGTATCTTTATTTCGAAACGTTTCGCCTACACAGTAGGCTTCTTCAGTCGAGTACAGAAAAGTTGATAGAAGCAGAAGATACTTGAAGACGATGTAATCAGTCCATCACCCTTAAAGTTTTGAGGTGGTCAGTCCCTCAGTCTGGAGAAGAGCATTGTTCCGTTGTCTGAAACAATATGAAGTTGAAGTGACAGGATGGAGCCTTATATAGCGCCAGGAGGTGAGACGTATGTTGCTTTGGGAAGGCAGGTCCCTCTCAAACCCAGCCGTTCTCACTAGTAGAGGTTGTCGAAGTTGATGGTCTGTACCAAGATACCCTTGTGTTGCAGTGTCTGACAGAATGAACATTAAAAGGGTGATGGACTGATTACATCGTCTTCAAGTATCTTCTGCTTCTATCAACTTTTCTGTACTCGACTGAAGAAGCCTACTGTGTAGGCGAAACGTTTCGAAATAAAGATACCTAACTGTTGCATATGTGTCTTACCTAACAACATACTGCATATGTGTTTATATTTCCAACTTTATTACACACAGTTACTCTAGGAGGCCTGCTCATGGGCACCGGGATCGGCTACTCCTCTCCGGCTGGGCCACTACTGATGAGCAACTCGACGGAGGGAGGGTCGCTGCAGCTTAGCGAGGATCAGTACAACTGGTTCTCATCCTTGATGAATCTCGGAGCTCTGGTTGGTGGGGTGCTGGGCGGCTTCAGCATCAATAGGCTGGGCAGGAGGTTCACCATGCTTGTTTCTGGCCCCATTTACCTGACTGGCTGGGCACTTATAGGTATTGTGAAAATATTGTGTAAACTTTTTTCCTAAAGTTCACAAAATATATATATTTTCCGTTGAAGAGCTAATACAAAAGAACTTAAGAAAGGAGGAACACTGCAGGAGGCCTGTTGGCCCATACTAGGCAGGTCCTTTACAATTCATCCCACTAACGAAACATTTTCCCAACCCAGTCCTCAATGCCACCCAAGAAATAAGCTCTGATGTGAAAGTCCCACTCAAATCCAACCCCTCCCACTCATGTACTTATCCAACCTAAATTTGAAACTACCCAAAGTCCCAGCCTCAATAACCCAACTAGGTAGACTGTTCCACTCATCAACTACCCTATTTCCAAACCAATACTTTCCTATGTCCTTTCTAAATCTAAACTTGTCTAATTTAAATCCATTACTGCGGGTTCTCTCTTGGAGAGACATCCTCAAGACCTTATTAATATCACCTTTATTAATACCTATCTTCCACTTATACACTTCGATCAGGTCTCCCCTCATTCTTCGTCTAACAAGTGAATGTAACTTAAGAGTCTTCAATCTTTCTTCATAAGGAAGATTTCTAATGCTATGTATTAATTTAGTCATCCTACGCTGAATGTTTTCTAACGAATTTATGTCCATTCTGTAATATGGAGACCAGAACTGAGCTGCATAATCTAGGTGAGGCCTTACTAATGATGTATAAAGCTGCAGTATGACCTCTGGACTTCTGTTGCTTACACTTCTTGATATAAATCCCAGTAATCTATTTGCCTTATTACGTACGCTTAGGCATTGATGTCTCGGTTTAAGGTTGCTGCTCACCATAACCCCCAAGTCCTTTTCTCATTCTATACTGCTAAGTTCAACATTATTAAGCTGGTAGGTGCTAGGGTTATGAACATTTCCGAGCTTTAGAACTTTACATTTATCTACATTGAACTGCATCTGCCACTTTTCTGACCACGAATTGAGTTTGTCTGAATCCTTCTGAAGTTGTGAGACATCAACGTCTGAATCGATTATCCTACCTATCTTCGTGTCATCAGCAAATTTGCTTATGTCACTAGTAATTCCCTCGTCAAGGTCGTTTATATATATTATAAACAACAACGGGCCTAAAACTGATCCCTGTGGAACGCCACTTGTTACAGATCCCCACTCAGATTTAACCCCATTTATGCACACTCTGCTTCCTATTAGTGAGCCATGACTCGATCCATGACAGCATTTTCCCCCAATGCCATGGGCAGCCACTTTCTTCAACAGTCTCTGATGTGGTAGTCTATCAAAAACCTTACTAAAATCTAAATAAACAATATCGAATTCTTTATCCTGATCAACGGCCTCAAAAACTTTGCTGAAGAAGGTTAATAAATTAGTTAGACAGGAACGGCCTCTGGTGAAACCATGTTGAGTATCATTAATCAAATTATGCATATCGAGATGGCTTCTTATATTATCAGCTATAATTGACTAGTAATTTACCTACAATTGAGGTCAGGCTTATTGGGCGGTAATTTGACGGTAACGACTTGTCCCCTGTTTTAAAAATAGGAATTACATTAGCCATCTTCCACATATCAGGCACTACACCTGTTTGAAGAGATAAATTAAGGATATTAGTTAAAGGTCCGCAGAGTTCCATTTTACACTCTTTAAGAACCCTTGAAAAAAGTTCACCAGGGCTCGGGGATTTACTTTGCTTTAATCGGTCTATCTGTTTGATAACCGTTTCGCTGGTGACTGTGATATTGCATAATTTATCATCGTCAGGCCCACTATAAAAATTAATTACTGGGATATTGTCAGTGTCTTCCTGAGTGAAAAACCGAGAGAAAATAATTATTAAGAATAGAGCACATTTCATTCTCCTTGTCAGTGAGATGCCCAGAGTTATTTTTAGTGGGACCTATCTTATCTCTAACTTTTGTTCTATAAACCTGGAAAAAACTTTTTGGGTTAGTTTTTGAATCCCTAGCAACTTTAATTTCACAGTCCCGTTCAGCTTTTCTTATCCCCTTTTTAACGTCCCTCTTAATGTCAATATACTGGTTCATAAGATGACCCTCACCTCTTTTGATACGCCTATAAATTCCTTTTTTCTGACCTAAGAGATATTTGAGCCTATTATTAATCCATTTGGGGTCATTTCTATTCGATCTAATTTCCTTATATGGGATAAATGTCCTTTGGGCAGCATGTATTATGTTAAGAAAGCTGTCATACTGATAGCTCTCTTCGTTACTCCAGTCTACAGATGATAAGTGTTCTCTAATCCCATTGTAATCTGCTAAGCGAAAATCTGGGACCAGTACTGAATTATCCCTACTTTCATACTTCCATTCAATGCTAAAGGTAATTGATTTGTGATCGCTTGCCCCGAGTTCCTCTGTAATTTCTAAATTATTTACGAGGGTTTCCTTGTTTGCCAAAACCAAGTCAAGCAGGTTATTTCCCCTTGTAGGTTCTGTCACAAACTGCTTCAAAAAACAATCCTGAACTATTTCTAAGAAGTAGTTTGATTCTAAATTCCCAGTCAAGAAATTCCAATCAATATGACTAAAGTTAAAGTCTCCTAGAATTACTACATTATCGTGCCTTGTGGCCTTAACAATTTCCTCCCATAGTAGTCTCCCTTGGTCCCTATCTAAGTTTGGGGGACGGTATATCACACCTAAAATAATTTTTTTTATATCCCTCTGAAAATCAAGCGATCTCGGACATACAATGCCACCCCACCCCCCTTCCCGATACTTCTATCTACTTGGAACAATTTAAAACCCTGAATGTGACATTCTGCAGGCATGTCTCGACTTTTTGAATTAAACCACGTCTCAGTTAAGGCAAATACATCAATGTTACCTGCACTAGCAACTAATCTCAACTCGTCCATCTTATTCCTAGCACTACGGGTATTAGCATAATGTACATTTAATGACCCTTCTTTTTCTTTACCCTTCCTGCTCATTTCAGTTTTTCCACTAAACCTATTATTGTCCTTATCGCCTAGTGTCACTGACTTTCCAATATCCACCTCATTTTGCCTATTACTAGTTCTCATAGAACTCAGTATTACTACACTAGGACTTCATTGTGTTCTCGCCAAAACCCATACCACTAACTACTCCTAGTTTAAAGTCCTAACAGCTCCCTCCACTGCAGTTGCCAGTGCTCCCACCCCACACCTAGATAAGTGAACCCCATCCCTGGCATACATGTTATTTCTGCCATAGAAGAGGTCCCAGTTGTCAACGAATGTTACCGCATTTTTCTTACAGTATTTGTCCAGCCAGCAATTGACACCAATTGCCCTGGACAACCATTCGTTTCCAACTCCCCTCCTTGGCAAAATACCACATGTGACAGGGTTCCCACCCTTCCTCCTAATTATCTCTATTGCTGACCTATACCTGCTAATCAGGTCCTCACTTCTACGTCTGCCATCATCGTTACCTCCAGCACTGAGACAGATAATAGGATTGTTCCCATTACCTCTCATGATGTCATCTAGATGGCTAACAATATCCTCCATCCAGCCCCAGGAAAGCAAACCCTCTGTCTCCTACTCCTGTCCTTCAAGCAGAACGCCCTATCCATGTATCTAACCTGGCTATCCCCAACAACAACAATATTCTTACCTTTCTTGTTGTCGTTCGTCGTGACGATCCCAGTAGTCGACTCACATTCGTTGGATAGCACCGAGAATGCGTTGGAGGTTTCCTCAACAGTTTCCACAGCAGTCTTTCTTCTTCATCGTTTCTGGCTTTCCATTCTTCTTGATCATCAACTTCGTCCCCTGCTGTCCAGCCACTGACTACGATCCCTTCTTGACCTGAGGACTCGAAACAGGAGGATTACTACGAATCCTCTTGTTCTCCTCAGTCAATCGCCGTATCTCCATCTTCGCTTCCCTCAATTCTTCCTTAAGCTGCTGGTAAAGTTGCTCGATGGAGGGTATCTTGGTTCAGTCCACGGGGAGCACACAGGACACTTCTTCACAGAGTTAAGTACAGGTCACCACTGAGTTAAGTACAGATCACCACTGAGTTAAGTACAGGTCACCACTGAGTTAAGTACAGATCACCACTGTTAAGTACAGGTTACCACACTAATAGAATATTTGCCAACCCAATTTTCAATTCTTCCCAAGCAATAAGCTTTGATAATTAACTTATGCGCAAGTCCCACTCAAATCCAACCCCTCTCACTCATGTATTTATCCAACCTAAATTTGAAACTACCCAAGGTTTTAGCCTCAATAACCCTAACTAAGCAGACTGTTCCGCTCACCAACTACCCTATTTTCAAACCAACACTTTCCCATATCCTTTCCAAATTCAAACCTGTCCAATTTGAATCCATTATTGCGGGTTCTGTTTTGGAGAGATATCCTCAAGACCTTATTTATATACTTATTATGTGGTGCAAGAAATAGCTAACGATATGCATTGTTATTGTTGTTTTGTCAGGTTTTGGCCAGAACTTCGCCACGTTGGTAGCGGGGAGGATGGTGGTAGGTGCTTGTATATGCGCTACCTGTGTTGTTGTGCCCACCTACGTAGGTGAAATCGCCTCCCCTGACATCAGAGGCATCTTAGGTGAACGTCTTTTTCCCCTAAGTTCACTTCTTGACGTTAATGATTAACAGTAAAAAAAAATCTATATTCAGCATTTACTAATATAGAATAAGAATTTATTAGGCATCAATTAGAGGACTAAAAATAGTTTAATCATTAAAACAGGGACCAGTTATCAGTTTATGATAACTCTGGGGATGTTGTACGTGTACACGATGGGCGTGTTTGTTACAAACTGGAGATGGTTGGCGGCTCTCTTGCTGTCCCAGCCGTCCCTTACTTCCTCTCAGTCATCTTCATCCATGAGTCTCACACTTTTCTTCTGGCTAAAGGAAAGTTAGAGCAAGCGACGGCATCTCTACAACACTTCAGAGGTGAGCACAACAGTTCTTCCACGATATACCCGAAATATTATGCATCAGTATGAGTTTCTTCTTATAAGAAATAAGATAAGATCAGTTTGTGACAGAACCTACAAGGGGTAAAAACCTGCTTGACTTGGTTCTGGCAAACAGATAATCACTTGTTAATAATTTAGAAATTTCAGAGGAACTTGGCACACGTGACCACAAATCAATTACCTTCAGCATTGAATGGAAGTATGATAGTAGGGATAACTCAGTAACAGTCCCAGATTTTCGCTTAGCAGATTGCGATGGGCTTAGAGAACACTTATCATTTGTTGACTGGGGTAACGAAGAGAGCTATCAGTATGACAGATTTATCCCGCATAAAGAAATTAGATCGAGTAGAAATGACCCAAAATGGATGAATAATAGGTTCAAATATCTTTTAGGGCAGAAAAAAGGAATTTATAGGCGCATCAAAAGAGGTGAGGGTCATCATATGAACCAGTTTATTGACATTAAGAGGGACGTTAAAAAGGGGAAAAGAAAAGCTAAATGGGACTATGAAATTAAAGTTGCTAGGGATTCAAAAAGTAACCCAAAAAGTTTTTTCCAGGTTTATAGAACAAAAGTTAGAGATAACATAGGTCCCCTTAAAAATAACTATGGGCATCTTACTGACAAAGAGAATGAAATGTGCTCTATTATTAATAATTATTTTCTCTCGGTTTTCACTAAGGAAGACACTAACAATATCCCAGTAATTAATTTTTATAGTGGGCTTGAAGAGGGTAAATTATGTAATATCACAGTCACCAGTGAAATGGTTATCAAACAGATAGACCGATTTAAGCAAAATAAATCCCCGGGACCTAATGAACTTTTTTCCAGGATTCTTAGAGTGTAAAATGGAACTCTGTGAACCATTGACTAATATTTTTAATATTTCTCTTCAAACAGGTGTAGTGTCTGATATGTGGAAGATGGCTAATGTAATTCCTATTTTTAAAGCAGGGGACAAGTCATTACCGTCAAATTACGGCCCAGTAAGCCTGACCTCAATTGTAGGCAAATTACTAGAGTCATTTATAGCTGATATTATAAGAAGCCATCTGGATAAGCTTAGCTTGATTGATGATACTCAGCATGGACTCACGAGGGGTCGTTCCTGCCTAAGTAATTTATTAATCTTCTTCAGTAAAGCTTTTGAGGCCGTTGATCATGATAAAGAATTCGATATTGTTTATTTAGATTTTAGTAAGGCTTTTGATAGAGTACCGCACCACAGACAGTTAAAGAAAGTGGCAGCTCATGGCATTGGAGGAAAAGTGTTGTGATCGAGTCATGGCTCACTGACAGGAAGCAGAGAGTGTCCATAAATGGGGTTAAATCCGAGTGGGGATCTGTAACAAGTGGCGTACCACTGGGATCAGTCTTAGGCCCGTTGTTGTTTATAATATATATCAGTGACCTTGATGATGGTATTACTAGTGATATGAGCAAATTCGCCGATGACACAAAGATAGGTAGGATAATTGATTCAAACGTAGATGTCGGAACTTCAGGAGGATTTAGACAAACTCTATTCATGGCCAGAAAAGTGGCAGATGCAGTTCAATGTAGATAAATGCAAGGTTCTGAAGCTTGGGAGTGCCCATAACCCTAGCACTTATAAGTTAAATAATGTAGAACTTAGCCATACAGATTGCGAAAAGGACTTGGGGGTTATGGTGAGCAGCAACCTTAAACCAAGACAGCAATGCCTAAGCGTACGTAATAAGGCAAATAGATTACTGGGATTTATATCAAGAAGTGTAAGCAACAGAAGTCCAGAGGTCATACTGCAGCTTTATACATCATTAGTAAGGCCTCACCTAGATTGTGCAGCTCAATTCTGGTCTCCATATTACAGAATGGACATAAATTTTTACTTTACATATTGTCGGTAATTCTACCAACTTTATTACTACCTATTTGCTGCTAGGTGAACAGGACAACAGTTGTAAGGAAACGCGTCGAAATGTTTCCACCCACCGGGAGTCGAACCCGGGCCCTCCGTGTGTGAAGCGGGAGCTTTAGCCACCAGGCCACCGGGACACAATGTTAACCAACCATTGTAAGTTAAAAGTATTAATAACCTACTATTGCAGGTTATTTCTATTGTAGGGTAATATCGTTATCAATATCATAACCATTATTAGATGAGAGTAAAAAACAAGGGGATTTTTCGTCACTGCCGACCAGCTTTATTAATGTATTTTTTATCATTTATTCTTACTGCATTATTCAGGTCACGACGACAAGTTCTCACACAGTGTGAGTTGAACACCGTTAGATTTCTTCCCTGAAGATTCTGCTGTTCTGATCACATTTTATTTCCAGGAAAACATTATGACGTCCAAAAGGAGATTAATATGATCCAACAGTCACTGGAGGACGCCAAGAACAACAAGCCATCATTGAAGGAATTTCTGAGACCTCATAACCTGAAACCTTTCGTACTGTGTCTCACCATCTTCGTCTCCATACAAATGTCTGGATTGGGCCCTGTCTTATTCAATATGTCGTTCATATTTAAGGTAAACTAATAAGACTGTGGAAGATTTATTAAGAGACGTTTACCCAGGTGTTACTCCTGTTGATATATTAATATACACAAATAATATTGTATTAAATGGCTTTATTCACTTGTGACCGATTTTCAGAGGTGGGTAGTAAATGCGTTATTCGGTACTGTATTATTTTTCTTCTATGTACTTGAAGTATCATATGTCCTCCACATTGTCATTTCTTCCCAGGCTTCGGGAGCGGATCTGGACGACAACGTTAGCACCGCTATTGTGGGCGTTGTACAGATCCTGGCAACTGCACTCAGCGGTGTGCTTGTGGACAAGGCTGGCAGGAAGCTCCTACTTATTGTATCAGCTGCTACCGTGTCTCTCTCACTGTGTTAGTCTATCCTTCCTACTATATCATATTTCTCATGAAGTTACTCTCTCCCTCGTACTACAGCATATGTCTCTCACTGAGTTACTCTCTCCCTCGTACTACAGCAAATGTCTCTCACTGAGTTACTCTCTCCCTCGTACTGCAGCAAATGTCTCTCACTGAGTTACTCTCTCCCTCGTACTGCAGCAAATGTCTCTCACTGAGTTACTCTCTATCCTCGTTCTGCAGCAAATGTCTCTCACTGAGTTACTCTTCCCTCGTACTGCAGAAATTCTCTCATGGTTCTCTCTCCCTCTCTGCAGCAAATTTTCTCTCACTGAGTTACTCTCTCCCTGACTGCAGCAAAGTCTCTCATGAGTTTCTCTCTACCCCGTTTTTGCAAACAAATTCTTCACTGAGTTTCTCTCTACCTCGTTCTGGGCAAATTTCTCACTGAGTTATCCCCCCCTCGTACTACACAAATGTCTCTCACGAATTACTCTCTATCTCGTTCTCGCAAATGTCTCTCACTATTTCTCTCCCCTTCGTACTACGCAATTTTTGGT